ATCACAATCAAACAAAAAGATAAATGATCAATCAATGATGCGGTCATATCAAACTAATAACCTGTTTTATTATTTGGGATAATTCTTCCACTTCGACCATGCGATCGTCGAATAGCGAACGTTTTTTGGCCAGTTCCGTTAATTTCTCCATTTTTGCGCACGTATGACTCAAATCACGACCGATACGCCTGAAATAGTTCAACAACTAAAATTTCTATCAACGACGTGTTGCGGTGACTTTCCCTCGATTGAACAACACCTCAATGCATCCAATCATTAAATTCGTGACATAGAATAAATTCTCTAATAATTGAATAAAAGATCTGATGAACTCACTTTGCAAGTTGGTTGAATTGCACAGACTGTTGAACAAGGTGATTGGGGTGTTCATTTTGTGAAATACGTCCATTTGCTTGTATTTTCATCTGCAAAAACAAAACAAGATTATAACTAAGTTCATTAATTCACCGACAGAATTCATATTCACCAACGAATCAAATTCACTGAATCAATACGAAGGAATAAAAAATGAATTCAAGAAATTCAGATTAGAGTTAGAATATACTACAACCTGGTATGACTTGGCAGTTGTACGAAATTCGGCCGTACGATCACGTTGAGGCATTTCGAAGAAGGCTGCTGGTGGCGGAGAGTTAACTAATGAATTCAGCGAGCTGGACGAATCGTTTGACGGGAGAGTATTGTAGGCGTACGCAAATGACGGTGCAGAGGAGACTGGTGTAAGTGTATGCTGAAAACAACAGTTTCCACTTAAATTTTTCAACATTCAAATTCCGTCAAACTAGCGAAATTTGCACATTTCAGACGTCCATAAATCTGAAAACTTTTCCGAAACAATTTAAACCGGTTTGACGAATGGATAATCAATTTTATCTGATAAAATGACAACAAATACCAGCACAAACCCTCAACAAATCATTTAACCCTGATAATATTCTAGATTTCGAGATGACAAAAAAAAACACTAGAAACCTCAATCATCTACTAGCGCCACAAAAATGTTTTGAATGTTATAAGAAAATAATTTCGACCATCTAACTTACCCGTGCAGAGTTCCAAAGCGATGTTGAAAGGTTTGAAAAGGATGAGAAAGGACTCGTATACGGATTGTGCTCCTTTGTTTCTTCTGGAGAAGAGCTAAAGTTGGTTTCGTTGTCGTGTGAATTACCAGCAACGCGCCGTCTTGTAACTGTTATCGGCAATTCAGACATAGACGGACATAAATATCCACCTCGGTTCACTGCCCTACTATTCAAACAACAATTGAAACAACGATAATTTTTCTCAAACATTTCTTCTTAACGAATACGCTTCTAAACAATAACAACAATAACGATATTATCATATACTCGCTGTTAGTAAATTAATAAATCATACTATCATTCAATCATAAAACTGCTCTGAACAATCACTCTTACTATTATCAGCATTCACTGATTAAGT